GAAAGGGCTGGGCCTCCAGAGGACGGGGCGCTTACCACAGGAAGGTCAGGCCCCCACCTCCGCCTCCTTAGGAAGGAGGGGGAGGGGGCTGCAGCCACCACAGGCTCATGTGGCCAGGGACCTGGGCTCGTGTTGTGCCGGGTTCGGCTGAGCCAGAGTCCCCTGGTGAGGGGGGCAGGTCCCAGTGTCATCAGGGTCATCGGCCACAGGGAGGTGTGGCCGCTGGCTCCTCTTCTCCTCCCTTTGCCTGTCCTGCAGCGTTGGATCTGGGTCCAGCATCAGCACCACTGAGATCCAGTGGTCATAGGAGGGGGTCAGCCCAGGGAGCTGGCCGCCCACAGCCCCAGGGAGCAGCGGGGCCAAGCTAGGATGTGAGGGGACGTGTCCAAGAACCGTCCAGCTCAGCTGCTCTCGTGTCAGACCAGAAGCTGAAGCCAGGTGAGGGCAGCTCCACAGGACGGGCAGGGCCAGGAGCCCCTGGACCTAGGCAGGTGGCCGCCGGTCAAGCCACCTCCAGGGGCACCCCATAGAGCCCATGCTTCCTGGGGTGACCCTATGCCCTGGTTATCCTCTCTGAGCCCCGCCTTTGGACTGGGAGAGGCACTTATGGGGTGTGGCACCTGGGGAAGGTTCTGGAAACACCGCGCTGTGGGCGTTGGTATTGCTGGCACAGGCTGTGAGCTGCAAAGTCTGGGCTGGAGGCACAGCTGTTGGCAAGGGTCGGAGTGACCTTGAGATGCCCCCCAGGAGGTGGAGGCTCCTCAACTGAGTGAGACACCCAAGACAGCAGCAGCCAGGGAGGCAGCCTCTCCGTGTGCCCAGCACGGTGCTGGCCCTGGACGTGCATCCAGCCCGGCCCTCATGGCCTCCCTGTGAGTGGGAACTGCTTTGTCCCTGTCTTACGACAAGGAGACCACACATGGCCAGTCTAGCCTCAGAGCCCGCGGCCCTCATCACCACCTTCGGCTACATCTGTCAAACAGAGATGGGAAGCCCCTCAGCTGGGTGCTGCGTGAGGCCAACTCAGGTGACCGGCTTAGTGTCAGTGAAATGAGGAGACGCAGAGCATTGCTGTTAGCAGGCCATAAATATGTGGCTCTTCCCCTGCAGGGGTGGTGGGGTGTTAGGGTGAGGATGCTGCTGATGAAGGTGGTGCGGGAGGAAGATGGAGGTAGAGGTGGTGGTGATAGTGATGGTCATGGTGAAGACTGATGGCAAGGGGCTGATGTTGATGGAGGTGATAGTGGAGGTGGTGATGGTGATGGTGGAGATGGTGATGGTAGTGATGGAGATAATGGTGCTGGTGGTGGTGTAATGGTGATGGTGATGGTGCAGATGGTGGTGATGGTGATGGTGCAGATGGTGGTGATGGTGATGGGGATAATGGTGCTGGTGATGGTGATGGTGGAGATGGTGGTGATGGTGGTGGAGATGGTGGTGATGGTTACGGGGATAATGGTGATGGTGGTGGTGGTGGAGATGGTGGTGATGGTGGTGGAGATGGTGGTGATGGTGACGGGGATAATGGTGATGGTGGTGGTGGTGGAGATGGTGATAATGGTGATGGTGACGATGGTGATGTTGGAGATGGTGGTGGTAATGGTGATGGTGGTGATGGTGATGGTGGAGATGGTGGTTACTGTGATGGAGGTGATAGAGGCGATGGTGGTGGTGGTGATGGAGGTGATGAGTTATGGTAATGATAATTGTGTCCCTCAGGGCCCCCTCCTACCCTCGGGACCATGTCTTAGAGCAGTGTGTGGGAGCCGGAGAACAGTAATGCCCGGGCACTGGTAGTTTGCTAAACGGATAGGAGACGATATCCTTTATGGCGCTTCCCTTTCTCTCGTAAATTAATCGTGATAGCAGGGAGGACTGATGGTTTCTAATGTCCTCACAAAACCAAAGAAAAACTTGATCAGTTTTGTCTGGGCTTATGTTCTCTCCCCCCCCTTGGTTGAGGACGTTACTGGTCTGTGAAATCCCCAAGTCTGGAAACTGTAGCTACCTGGCCCATCATGCTGCCCTTCCAAATGCTCTCTGGTAAACACGCACACGCACACGCACGTTTGAGCACATACACTCCTCTTAGCTCCTGGACCCTGGGCCCCCTGACCCAGCCAGGGACCTGCACCAGTCAGCCCGCCTGGCCCAGCGGTTTCCTAGGCAACCAGCACAGAAATGCCACCTGGGGGTTTAAGCAGCACAATTAAGAGTCGTACTGGCAATTAACAGCCCTGCGGTCCTTCAGTGGCTCCATGAGCCACTCTGCGTAACCCACTTGTCCCTCCAGGGCCTGGACATGTGTGGCCCTGGCGTGGACGCCCCAGGGTAGCCCCCAGCTGAGTTGCCTGCTCTGCTCCCCTCCGCACTTGCCTGAACTCTAGGGCCACCTGTGGAAGTTCGGCAGGACCCTGAGGCCCTGCCCTAGGGGCTGTCTCCAGGTGGACTTGGCCAGGGAGAGTGCGAAGGCGGGTGTGCAGGGCTCCAGGCAGGAGGCGCACGGGGCCACGTTTGGTCCTGATGCCAAGCGTGGGGGGCAGTGTCAACCCACGGGTCGGTGCCTACCTGGAAGTCCCATGTGCTGTGCCTGCGGATGCCCTGAGGGTGCTTTGGGGTGCTGGCCCCCAGGCTGGGCAGCAAGCTCAGACACTGCGCATCTGCTCAGTGTCACACAGCAGGTCTGTGAGTCAGTGTTTTGTTGTTATAACTGAATTAAATTCCAGACGGGTCATTTATAAAGAATCAAGGCTCATTCCGCTCACGGCTCTGAGGTCCTGGGGGCTGCGCCTGGTGAAGCCTTCCTGCGGGAGGGGACCCTGCAGAGTCCCACAGCCACGCAGGGAGTCGTGTGGGAAACAGGCACGTGCCCTAGTGGGGTCTCTCTTCCTCCTCTTTTGGGCCACCCCCAGGACCCCATCTAAGCCTAACCCTGCAAATGCCATCAACATATGACCAAGGCTGGAGTTCAAGGTGACTTTGAAGGAGAGGCATGTCCCCACCCCAGCATGATATGGAGAGAGGAGGCCATGTCCCTTCCTGGAGCGTCACTGAGGTCATGGAGCATCCAGGCCCTGTCCCAGGGGTCAGGGAGGGTGGCTGGTGGCTACAAGGCAGGTGCTGAGCTGACCTGCATGGTGTGGGCGTGTGGCTTTGTCTTGGTGACCGTTACTGCTGCTGTCCATCAGTTGGTCATGCACCTTCTTCCGTGTGCCCAGGTGGCCAAGGCCATCATGCAAGGAAGGGCAGGTAATGATGCAGGAGGGACAAACCTGAGCAGAGGACGAAGTCCCATTAGCTATTTACGTCTGTGGTCCAATGGCTTGACTCGTTCTCCCTGTTTATGTGAATGTGACAAAATGACCAACTTATATAATTGGCAACTTTTCTTTTGGCGATCTGCTTACCGTCTCAGCCTCCTGCTGCTCAAAGCTCAGTTGCTGAGTCTGTGGAACGCCACTGCTTCCGGCGTCTTCCGTGGACGGACACTCTGGTCCTGCCAGGGCACTCTCCTCACAGGCCTTCGAGCTGCGTGGCCTCAGGGCCGAGTGGGCAGTGCTGACGAGGGTGCAGGTGCCCAGGCAGTCACCAGAGCAGCAGGACGCCTTCAGTGTAAATGAGACTGCTCTCCTGATGGAGGACACCCGTGGTCCTGCGCAGGGCGTGGAGGGCAGTGCGTGCAGCCCTCCCTGGACAGGCCTGGCGGTTAAATGGCCAGCAGCCCCAGCGGCACTTACAGCAGGGCCTGAGCAGAGGGGCCTCATCAGCGTCAGCAGTGGAGTCAGCCACGGGAGGCCGCCTCTGCTGGGAATTCATGCTGCAGAGCTGGGCGTTTGGGGAAGGGGCAGAGAGCCGTGGGAGCCAGGCCACAGGGGACCCCCGTTGCCCTGCTGTCCGCTAAGGCAACATGGCTGCTGTCACAAATCTTGAAGTGCAGCCTCAGGGCGCAGAGGGCTTCTTCTTGTTCCCACAGCCCTGGGGAGCAGAGACCCACTCTGCATCTCACCTGGGGACCCCACCACCCTTAGGCCCTCCAGGTCCAGAGCCTTAAGCTGACAGAGCAGGAAAGGGAAGAGAAGGGGCGTGGGCTTCTTCAGAGCCTGGGGGTGAAGGGCCCGGCTGTGCTCACACCCCATTGGTGAGAAGGAGTCACATGTCCACACCCGGGAGCAAGGGCAGCTGGGAAATGTAGTCCCAGGCCGCCCACCTGCCCCCTTCCCGCCTCAGGATTCCCTGCTCAAGTCAGAGAGGAGTCTTGGGCGTAAAAGGGGCCAGACCTTTCTCAGAGCCCGGACCCGTGTTCACGTTGAAGTGCAAATGTGTTTGGGGTATTTGAGTAAAAAAAAAAAATCACATTTACCTCGGAAAACAGAACCGGGGAGACTGCTGCAGAGGCCCACAGGGGGTTGGCCTCGGTTTCTGCCTGAAACCAGTCATTTGATTCCTGGGCAGTTTTGCAGTTTCCGGGAGGAGAGGCCAGCCGCTGACCGCGCGGTGTATCCGCTACCTCCCTCACTCCTCATACCCGTGCGTGCACCTCGGACCGCTGAGTCGCGAAAGCCCACACTGCTCAATCAGGAATCGAGTCACGTTTGTTTATCGTCTTTGTTTTTAGGAGAAAGTAACTGTAGGCAGGACAATAGGCATGTGTCCCTCTCCCCGAGGCAGCCACCTGCAGGTGCTCCGATGGGCCAGAGGCGGGCGGAGGCCACGTGCAGGCGGGCCGTGGCGTGGCGCAGGAGTGCGGCCGCCCTTCTGCTCCGCAGAGCTCTGTTTCTGCCCCGGAACAGCTCTTGACCCTCCGTGGCCAGGACTGGGGTTCATAGGTGTCCCCAGATTCTGCCGGCAGTCCCTGGAATCAGGATCCTCTTCTCCCTAGGACTTTCCCCAGGAGAGCGGGTCTCGGGCTTCAGGGGACGGGTCAACGAGAGCCCAGCACCGAGTGGGGTCGGCGTCCAGCACCGTGACCTCTCTAAGCGCTATTTCTCTCTTCTGCACAGAAACCCGCGCGGACCGCAGTAAGAAGCTCTTCCGGCACTACACGGTGGGCTCCTACGACGGCTTCGACGCTTCCAGGTAGGACGCGCGTCTCCCTGCCAGGACCTCTGGTCACAGGCACTGTGCGGCCTGAGCGCTGGGCCAAGTCGCGTGGAGCGCTCAGGCCCCTTGGTCTGCTTCCCCGGTGTGTCCCCGCATGGGCTTGCGGAAGCCACTGTCTTCCAGAGAACCTGCCTGGAGTGGCCTGTGTGGCCCCAGGGCCTGGGTGGAGCAGGAGGCGGGGGACTCAGTGCTGTCGAGGGAAACAGCAGTCCAGAGGCTGGGCGGGCAGTGGCCCGGGAGCGTCCCCCATGGGCATGTCCCCCTGGAGTGTTGGGGCCCTGCTGGGGCCTGGGTTCTCACCTCAGGCGGTTCCCCTCTCGGTTCCTGCCACTTCCCGCACTTCCCTGGCTTCCTGTTTGTTGCTGGAGGCCCTTCCCCTGCGGGGGACGCTGGGCAGGCGGTGGGGGCTGGTGTGTTGTGCAGGAGCCGTGCTCATCCGGTGGCTAGGCCCGAGAGGGGCCAGGCAGGACCGTCCCTTGGAGATGAGCACTCAGCCAGGTGGGGCTGTGATGGCCAGGTGCTGCCCTCCCTTAGAAGCTCGGTGAGCAGCATCTCTCCTGGCCACTGTGCCCTTTGCCAAGTCCCTGTGTCCCCGGTTGCGGGTTCCTCTTTCCCTTCATTTCTGTCCTAAGCCACAAGTGTCCCTTGGCTAGCCCTGCTACCATGCTGGGTACAGGGGCGTGGGGAGCCCACACCCCACAGGGGACTGGGTTGACGGGAGCCGGATGTGGTGCAGGGGAGGGAAGGAGACACAGGTATGTGACTGCGGCATGTAAGGGACCTGCCGCTGGCCCTGCTGGTGGCTGACCGCGGGCCTCTCTGAGAAGCCCAGCAGCCAGCCCTCCGAGGAGCAGGACCAGTCTGGGGAAGGGTCCCCATGCCCTGCCCTGGGTCCTGCCTGACCCTGGGGTCTGTGAGGAGCAGCTCAGACCTGCCCCTGACTCCTGTCTGCCTGCCTCGGGACCCGGCCCAGGTTGGTGCTGTTGACCCCTGAATCACGCGGTTGACGTTTGCTGTGCCGAAGTCCGTCGTCTTTCGGTGGCTTTCTGTTTCTGTCAGGGTCTGAATCCCTTTCCTCACCCCAAGGGGGTGCCCTGTCCCCACGAGCGGCCATGCCCGTCTCCCCTCCCCACGGCCCCTGCCGCCCTGCTGAGCCTCCTGCATGGACTCGCCTGCCTGGAGCCTTACGTCAACGGTGTCAGTGCATGGTCTCTTCTGACTGACCCCTCACCACGCACGATGCCCTCAAGGTCCACCCGTGTTGTGGCAGGTGTCCACATGGTGTTCTTATGGGGTACAGTGGACATGTTGCCAAGTCCCCACCTTGACCGTGTCTGGCGCACCCTTGCCTGCCACCCAGCCGTCACCCTCTCCAGGCCTCTGTCCCCAGCCGGGAACCTGCCCAGAGCCTAGTCCCCAGCCCTGCACACACACGGGGTTTGTCACGTCAAGTCCTCGAGGTCCGCCCTGGGCAGGGTTTCTTTGCTTCTTGGGGCTGGAGAGCTCCATCGTGTGGATGGGCGGTTTCTTACCCGCTGGCCCCCTCTGCCCTGGGGCGTTGCACCATGGGCTCGTGTGGATGTGTGCTCAGGGAGACCCCAGGCGGGAGCTGCTGGTCAGACCTCCACCGCTCACACCAGCTGTGCTCTGCCCCGGGTGCCAGGGGGTGCACACTCCCCAGGTCTTGTCCCACTTGCCCACCTTGGTGACCTGCCCGTGAGCAAAGTCCAGAAAGAGAACTCAGGGCCACCGGCCTCCAGGGAACCGTGCCTGACGCTGGCTCTTCCCGACGGGTCTTGACCTGGGCAGAGGGGGGTCACTGCAGAGAGTGCACCTGCTCAATGGGCCACCTGCTTGTGTGCTTCCCTCCTAGCGAGGAGGGTCTGGGCAGAGCCACGGACCTCAGCGCCCAGGGCTCGGGGAAGTGGGCAGAGCTGTCACCAGGGCAGAGCTGTCACCAGGGCTGCTTGGAGGCTCCAGGCAGGGATCCGGGGTCCGGGTGAAAGGTGCCCTCTGGAAGCTGAAGGGCCCTAGCTCTGGCTTTAGGGGTGCCGTGTCCCCACAAGGCCCGTGGTCTGTGGGGCCCGAGCCCCAGGGGGGCATCCGCTGGTGTGTCCTGTGCATGCACACACCTGACACGTGACACAGGTGGCCCTACGCTCAGGGCCACTGCCCAGGGGAGCCATGGGAGGCCCTGACTTGATGGAGCAGGGAGGGGGAAGGATGTGGGGCCACTGCCTGGGGTCCTGGGCAGAGGCTTGTCACAAGCCCAGGACCAGAACACACAGGGCCCTCGTGGCTGTGCAGCCAGAGAGGCGTCCTTGTGGGGTGACAGCTGCTCCCTGGGCGGACGAGGTGGAGCTGGGTACTCTGGTTCCAGAAGGACCAGTGAGCTCCGAGGACCTGCCACCTGCCGCCCTGTTGGCTGTGTCCAAAGGGTTTTGTGCCTTCTCTGTTCTGAGCTCTGTGGCAGAGGAGAGGGGCGTCCAGGCCACACCGGGGTCAACTGGAGCTTCTAAGCGGTGGGTGGAAGGTTCTAGTCCTGGCTCCCAAGCCACCCTGACCCCCATGGCAGAGTGGCACACGGCTGCGGCCACCACCCGCCTCCTGGTGGCCCTCTCCTCTTCTCCTCCGGGTTCAGCCTCCGAGCCTGGTCACAGCGCTCTGAGGCTGCCCCTCGGCCACCTTGTAAAGCAGGGGTCGTTGTCCACTGGACAGACGGACCCTGAGGTGGAGAGGGGAAGGCCAAGTTATGGGCTTGCCCCCGCCCCATGAGCATCTGAACCCGAGAATGGAGTCTCCCTGCTGAGGACAGGAGTCCACTGCCCAGGACTGGCCTGGGGTGCAGGGAGGACAGGGCCATCCCCTCCTGAAGCAGCACTGGGAGGGGGAGCTCCCCTGGCTCCGCGCCCGTCTGGCCCCTTCCTACCGGCCCTGGGATGGGCCGAGGAGTCTCCTGTGCTTAGAGCCAACAGGACTTTCCTTGACCTCTCTGTGGCCTTGGCAGGGCGTGGAGGGCAGTGAGGGAGCTGAGGACAAAGGCCCGGGTGTCACGTGCCGTCGGACAAGGTGGCTCTGGAGTGGACACGGGCGGAGGCTGTTCTTGCTCCTGATTGAGGAGCAGCAGGAGTCTGGGCCGTGCCCACTGCAGCGCGGGCGCAAAGCCACTGGCAGTTCATCAGCCACTTCAGAATTCCCATCAGAAGTGGGCAGTGCGCAGCGGAGCCCTCCTGCCAGTCAACACCCACCAGAGCAGCGGGTTACATCTGGGCGGCGCGGAGGCCCAGCCTCCCCTGCAGAGGCAGCCGAGATCAAAATGCGGTGGAGGCCAACTCAGTGAGATGTCTCCTCCCCCAGTCAGGAGGCTTCTCCTCTCCTGCCCCCTGGTGTCCACGTAGGCCTGGAGGCGGAGGCCAATGTGTCCAGTCGCTCCAGCCAGTGCCCTCTGTGGGATCCCCTCCACCTGCCCGGAAAACAGGCGAGAGAGAGATCTAGACATGGCCACACAAGTGAGGGTCAGGCAGCAGAGGTCCTGGGCATTGTCCCCCGGGACTTCGCAGGAACCTCAGTCTCGCTGTTGAAAACCCATCTCTACTCGGGCCCAGGAACTGCAGGCTCCCACTCCTCTTAGGTCGGGTCCCAGGCCCATGAGCACGGGACACTCAGGAGGAGGCTCCTGAGGGGGCCCCCTAGGACCTCGGGGATGGACTCACACTAGGTCCATGGACCCTCCCGGCCTCTCCTCCACCCATCCACACCCCCTTTCACTCACCCCTCTATCTGACCATCCTTCCTTGGTCCATCCATCCATACAACTGTCCTTCATCCAGCCAGCCGTCCACTAGCTGTCCACCCATGCCCCCTCCTGTCCAGCCGCGCATCTGCCTGTAATCCACCCACACCCGTCCTGCCCCACCTACCCACCCATTCTCAGTCCACCCACCCACTCACTCTCCACCGGTTCAGCCAGTATTGTCAAGACACCGCCTTGACCTTGGGGAGCGACAGCCAGCTGCAGGCAGAGAGCTCCCCCGGAGGCTGACGGAGGCTGACGCACTGAGCCACTTGGTGGCACTTCCCTTAGAGCCCAGGGGGCCGGTCAGCCAGCCCTAGGCGGGGAGGCAGGGACGGTCCCTCTGAGGAAGGGACTTCTGCTTGACACCTGGGGCTGAGGAGGAGTCAGTGCTGTGGGGGCAGCAGCGGGGGCCAGCTAGGAGGCCGGCGGTGGTATCTGGGGAGACCCGCGCTTCTGGAAAAGTCTGGAGCCTGTGAAGCAGAAGCAAATGGCTGGTGGAGGAGTGGGACGGCAGGGGCCGAGCAGGACACCCCGTCTCCCAGCCCAGCAGTGTGGTGGGGCTGGCGGGAGGCCAAGCCCTGGCGGTGAGCGGAGAGAGAGGGCGGCTGGGCTCTGCGGTTCCGTGGGATTCCCAGGGAGGAGCTTCCTGGAAGCAGGTGGGCACAGACCTGGTCCTGCAGGTGGCCAGCTCCTCCTGTGCCTCTGGCCACACTTTGCACGGGGTGGTCGGTGCTCCCAGGCTGCTGGGAGGGAGGGGAGGGGACGAGCCGTCACTGTCCCTCGGCCTTGGTAAAACTGACCTTCAAGATTCATGTAGAAGGGTTGCAAGCTGTGCCGTCGCCCTTCGTATTTTCATGGTTTTCAAGCATCATTTTTATATTTTAGAAATTGGTAAGTGGAAATAGATACATGGGGTAAAGAATCAAAATGCGCAGAAAATAGAGTGTGAGGAATAGATCTCTCTCCCAGCCCAAACCCAAGTTCTCCTCCCCAGACAGAAGCTTAGTTGCTGGTTGGCTGAGGATCTTTCTAGAGACAGGCTCTGAATATAGAAGCGTATATGTGTATTATCAGAAGCCTGATTGAGTCCCTGAAAAATAAGTTGTCCTAAGTTTTCTCTCAGACTTATCTCTGTGTGACCTTGGGCAGCTCACACGCCTTCTCTGAGCCTTCAATTCCT